CGATCAGTTTTTTGCCAGCAAAGACCAAAAATTTTATGAGCGTGGAATTATGCTACTACCAGAAAGATGGCAAAAGGTGTTGGACCAGAACGGTCAATATATAATTTAATAAAGTATTTGTTTATTATACGAACACTGTCTTTCATTTCCACAAAAAAAAAAACGAAATGACTTTCCGAACAACCCTATAGTTGTGCATACCATTAAGTACAATAAACCATTTGCTTTTCCTTTTTGTCGCCTTTCTATACCTCCACATAGATAATAACCAGAATCATCTACAGCGTGAAAAAATACTGCATCAAACGCCTACAATAAGTAACAGTATGGTCTTAACAATACTTGCGGAGGATGTTATTTCTATGTTATTATGTTAATATTAACATTAACTTACAAATTATTGAAAGATTGCAATTAAGTTATCGTACACATTAGAAAAATATTCCTAGCTGAGGGGGGAGTCGTACCCTCTAAACTCCTTTGTAGTTACGTTAAATAAAATTGTTATGTTGTCCTATGTTATTACCTGTATTTAAAATGTAGCCAATCTTAAAATATTTTTTCTATGTCAGTTACTGAAACTACTGAAACTGATAGTATTTCAATTCATAAATCCACTAGTATAAATACAGTTTTGATTTTTGTGAGACCAACACTGCAAAACCAGGATCAATTTTACTAAAAAGATCGCTAGTAATAAATGCACAGATAATCCTTTATGGTAATCTTAAAATTGTCAGTTCGAAGATCATTCTTAAACTATTCACTTATGTTTCACGAATGCATTTTTTGAATGTTATATAGGTACACAGGGTGTTCAATTCAAGGGTGCTAAAAATGGGCAGTTTTCAGGGGCCATTCTTAATTCGTTTACAGTGTTGTCGAATTTTGTTTAGTTTCTGATGTATTTAAAGGAGTTCTTCTAAAAACTGCGTAAAAAATCTTACTTTTACCTTGTCTATTTTGAAGTTATTATAATATCAAGTTTTAGGTAGTGTTTTGAAAGTACATCAAAAACTAAGCAAAATTTGGTAACACTGCAAACGAATTAAGAATAACCCCTAACAACTGCCCATGTTGTTTTATTTAATAGATGTTGTAACTCTTACTGTTTCTGAGAAAGCAATATTGGGTACTCTTGAAATGTGCGCCCTGTATACATATATTTAAAGGTTTTTGTATGCTTCGAAGTAAACAAATTAAAAAATGTATAATATATATAATAATTTAACATTTCTTTGTTGGAGATTTTAAATAACAGAAAACTTTTTTGTTTGGTATATTTTATTTTAAGATTGAGAAAAACGACGTTGTTTAGTACATTAAGTTACAAGTACCCTCTTTCCTGGTCCCCCCCCCCCCTCATAACTCACGTTAACTTCTGCTCTTTGACTCCCATTGGCTCTTTGTCAAATTAGTAGAAAATAAATGACTATTTTTTAAAGATATCATGCACAAGCACAAACTATAGCTAGTTCAGAATCTCATGAGCCCCTTTATACGCGATAGGCGGAGTCTTGTTGCGTTCATAAATGAGGGTGCTCTAGATCAGTGTTTCCCAACCTTTTTTTCTTCGCGAACCAAAAGAAAGGTCCGAAAAACTTTGACGAACCCCCTATGTAGTCATTAATGACAGGGAAAAAAAGGCAATAAAATTTGATAGAATGTATATTTTTCATATTGCAGAATAATTGATTGTATTAATTAATAAAAATAAGCTATAATAACAACCAAATTAATCATTATTAAATCATTTACACGAGAGTCACAGTATCACTATCACTCAAGCTTTACAAGTGCTAAGCCTATGTATGAACGTCGATTAATACAACACTACTCTACCAATTCCCGGTTGTGAACAAGTATCTAATTCTAAAATCTATTGTAAACTGTCTTAATTTGATATTTATTTCCAATTGTATTGTAAAAAAATATTACATAGAATGGAAAACTGCTGCAATGATTTTAAATATAAAGCCGAACATGATACTAATCATATTGATNCTAACTACAGGCAAAACGTTCACAGAACATTGAAATTAATACATATATATATCGCACGAGTGAAGATACATAATTTGATTTGTTTAAATACCGCGTTCATTTGTTTCAATCACATTTTTGTTACCGATTGTTCAACATTTATGACCTTATATTGTTATTTAATACATATTTTTTTGTCGACATATTTTCTTTTTATATAGCACGAGTGAAGATACATAATTTGATTTGTTTAAATACGGCGTTCATTTGTTTCTATTACATTTTTGTTACCGATTCTTCAACATTTATGACATATGACTAAACTTTATATTTTTATCGTAATTATGTATGTATAGGGTACTGAACCTAATACTTAAGATACATATGTAAAATACTCGTTTACCTTTTCATGCTCTGATAATTGTTGCAATTTTTCTAGATCTTCTATTTCACTGTAAGCACTTTCACCAAGTCCAGAACTGCCACGTTTTCCTAATCTCTTTGTAATTTTGGTTTTCATTTTCCTGATCGTTAAAACCAGTAGAAACGTTACATATTTTAAAAAGTACCATTGTCCCGGTTGACTGTAAACGCCTAATATTTTGTCGGACTTTTTCTTTCTTTTTTCAATTAATACGAAAACCAGGACGATAATGAAAATTGTTGTAAGTAACAGCATGTTGTAGATAATAAGGTTTACCCAGACTAACTTATCGTAACTGAGTTGAATGATACGAGAACACTTATTTTGTTATCGAAAATACAGGTGTTATTTTCGTTGTCATTACGAATTAAATAATAATAAATATAGATGATAGCGATTAATTATCGTGATAGAAGATTAAATAATGTGTAACTAAAACAAAAAAGTTAATTACCTGATTTTTTTATTCCCTTATAAGAAAATTAAAATGTAGTATTTTAAACTACTACTACTACTACTACTGCTACAACAATAAAATTAAATAGGTATAATAGAAGATAATAAATGTAATAATACTGGCTCATTATTAATAAACAGCAGAAAAAATCAATAAAATCAAAAGGTTTAGGCTTTCACTGTTGAGATAATCGAAAGTGCTTTAGTTTTTATGTGGAAATTAAATAATGCGTAACGTGTTTAGTATTAAGTTTTTTTTTTTTTTAACGAACTGTAAATGCTAATAAAAATGTTTTTATTAACTTATAACATTCCTTGTCTTTCTGGTGGTTGACAACAAGTAAATGGATCTAACCCAATAATTTCTCCATCTTCTAGAGTTTGTGGTAATGGCTGATTTAGTGTTTCAGGTAGAAGTAAGGAACATATCCCACCGACCACCAGCAAAGTTCCCATTATTACCAACGGTAACGTTAACATATCAGATCCCTAAAATTTTCATTTATTTATCGACGTTTTAATTTTCATTGCCTAGATATTGTAAATTACATATCTTTTCGTAAATAATTAATTCTATTTAACCAGCAATCTTCATAAATAATTGTAATAGCAAAGAAAAAACTATCTAAAGTGTTTTGAGATAATGCGATAAAAATCTTATACACTCCAAGAGCTTTATTATTAGGTACCTAGTCCTTAACTCAATCTTTTTATTTATTTTTTTTTTAATGTCACAATTTTTTTAATATTAAATAACATTCCCTTTTAAGGATGTTTGGGAGGTACAATCGGAGACAAGAGTACATAAAATTAGAAATTCGTGATTAATTAGGTTTTGCAGTATATCATGAGGTAAATAAATACTATCTATACTAAAGAAAAAGTATACGGTTTGAGAGAAAATTTGGAATT